GGATTTTGGACGAAGTACTTAATTGTCCGCAACAGCGAGAGAAAAGACGAGTGAAATGTTTCACTGGGTGGCATGAAAGTGTCCGCATTTCAGCCGGAGTCCGTAATGGAAACGGGAGTTTATTTCAGACATTTCTTGATACGTTTCATCGAGGCTCTAGTCGCAATGGCGAGGTGTCCGTAGCGCGAGAGTCGGCCGTAGATTTTGCTTCAAGATTGGCCCTGTATTGTGTTGCTGCTCCCATTGTTTTACTTAAGCGGCGCTAGTAGATGATTTGGTTTGATAATAGCGTAGTAGTATAGGGCGTCTCCATAGGGAGCAAAGGGATGCCGCCATCAATTAACATAAATAACAAAGGATTCAAGATGGCCTCTAAGTCCCATAGGGAGGATTCAAGATGGCGTCTAAGTCCCTTAGGGAGGATTCAAGATGGCGGCAGAGACCTCATCAGAAAATGACATCATTCAAGATGGCGGTGTAATATATTCATAATATGAGGGTGTAGGTGGGGTAAAAATTGATTCACGGCCTCCCTTAGGGAAATGTAACGTGTACTTGTATGTTCATGTTACACATACGACATCATGATGAGATATATATGTATGTCAAGACCTCACTTCCCATCCATGTGGGAGATGTTACAACACGTTACGCATGCGCAGTGTGAGATGTCTGTCAGAGACTTTACGCATGCGCAGTGTAAGATTTTGTCTGAAAAAGATGGCTGTTCGGGGCTGCCTGAAGCTGCCCAAGGCTGCCCTAACCTCTAGGGGATTACATGAAGGCTGCCCAAGGCTGCCCTAACCTCGAGGGGATTAAATGAAGGCTGTCCGAGGCTGCCTTAATCTCTAGAGAACTAAAAAAAATATTTACAGGTTGTAGCCAATGAGAAGATTTTGCTAAATCATGCAGGATCAAAGTTCTACAGTTTGTAACCAATGAGTAGGTAGAATTCAAAAACAAGAGATCTAAGATGTATAAAAGTAGAGCAGATTTTTAAGGAACTCACTATTCTTTCTCGTAGAGTGGTGAGCAAGCAAGCAAGCAAGCAAGGAACAAGATGTCGTCAAATACCAAGAAGAATCATCCTTATGTCAAAAAAGAAAACAAGAAGAAAACAGAAGCCAAGAATAAGTTGAAGGGTACTATTTTCATTGATGCGCTGCCTATGTTTGATCCTGATTTCCGAGGTAAAGATAACGTTCCTGATACACCGATGCATGACAATTTTGGAGGAGAACCACCCAAGTTTGATGTGAATGAGCCACGAATAGCTGTGGATTATATGAAACCAGAACACCGTATTCCTCCCAAATCAAAGCCTGCCAAGTCAAAGCCGCCATTGAAAGAGTTGAACAAACTGGTAGAAACTATCAAGACAGAATCGCCGACAGAGAAGACCGAAGTAGAAGTGCTAGAAGAAGGCGAGATTCCACAGGATTCTGGTACAGGTACGTATCAGTATTCCTCCTTGGATGAGTTACTGGACAGTGTGGAAGTCAGTTATCCATGTCCGATCCACCAGAGCATGATGGACGTATTGAAATCTAAAAAAGAAGATTGTGACGATGTATTCCTACGTTGCTCGTCCGCCCGTTGCCCAGTATTTTGTAATCTCAGTGATTACAACCGTTATTACTATGAATGTCAAAGACAGGGTCACCCCTGGTTCACCCTGGACAGAATCGACAAGATGGTGTGCGAATGTGGAATGACTCCCACATTGTCTTTGACTCAATCAGAAACAAATTATGGCAAAATGTATTTGCGATGTAGTCGACATAACTGTGATCTTTTTACCTGGTGGCGATTTAAACCCAACAAGAGGTCAGTGCAAATTCTTACGGATGGATGTGAATGATTCATTTCAGGACTAGATGTCAAGATGACATTTGCTGATTTATTAGAAGCCCTTTTTCCTTTACTTTAAAGAAAGTAATGAGAGTCAAATGTATTAATTTTTAGGCATAGTGTACATTCAAACTTTTCTTTTACCAGATGTAAAAATACACATGTTTTGTAGTTGTAATTAAGTTTTGTTAATTTTTGTAGATGGAATAAGTACAGACCATCTTGAAATCGCACAGTTGATGGGTAGAAACACAAAGCTAGAGACATTGTCCATGGACGATCATATTGAAATTGCTTGGTCGATCAGTAAGGCTAAGTTTAGAAAATTAGCTGGACGCCTAGGATTGTCGGATGAAGACTTAGAATGTATTGCTTGTGATGTACAGTTTCTAGAAGATAGTATAGATAAATAAATAAAAGTTGTATCACCAAAAACACTGTGTCATTTTTCTTTGTCAATCATGAGGCGAGTAAGACGGTCAGTGATTAAAAGAAGAAAACGCAATCAACGTGGGGGTGCTTCTGTGAGTACAGTTAAGAGAATTCTTCGTCGAGGCCCCTCTCTTACAGATAAATTAGCTTACGCAGCAAGTATGTCGTTATTGGGTCCTGCACCAGGTTTCGGAACACTTGGTAAACTTCTGGGAAAACAGGCTTTAAAAGGCATTATGGATAATGTCAAGCATTATAAAAAGGGTCGGCGATGAAAAAAAATCACGAGTTCATCATGCTTACCTCGTGGAGTCAATGGCTATGCTACTTGCATTATCGAGTGGTGTCGTGGCTTTGTGATCGCATCCCTCATATCGTCTTCGAAGAGGATGAGCCGCATAAAATCCCTTACCAATGGGTTCCCGAAGACATGGAAGTTGAGGTGTTTAAGTTTGTCGTGAAACCGCACCTACATCCACTACACGACCGTATCTTTCATTTGATGACGTTTATGAGATACTATGATGGGAAGTATACATATAAGACGTGGAATCATTTGTATACGCAGTACCTTCATAAGTATTGGGTCACCTACCATTCTTTCAAACTTTGGTGTCATTTATCATGGTTAAGAACATTAAGAAAGATGTCAAGGACGACTTGTATGACGAACCCGGTATCGTCGGTAGTTTGGGTGATGTGGCACCGTATGCCAAAGCTCAAAAGATCTCTATTGCTCAAGGTAAAAAGAATTAGAGAAAAATTGGCGTACACGCTTCACAAACCCAGACGTCGACGAGGAGAATTTTTACCTGTGGTGGTGTTCGACATTGATCAACAATGGGTAGCAGATTTGATCGAAGTACAGACCCTATCCAAACAGAACAAGGGATACCGATACGTATTGGTCGTGATCGATGCCTTTTCCAAATACGCGTGGGCCCGCCCGATTAAAATGAAAACAGGAAAAGATGTGACGGATGCGTTTGCAAAAATACTCAAAGGAAGCCAAAGGAAGGAAACCTCAGACGTTACAGACAGATGCAGGCAAAGAATTTTACAATCAGACCTTTCAATCATTGATGAAAACACAGGAGATTCATCACTTTTCTACTCATGGAGATGCCAAAGCCAGTATCGTCGAACGATTTAATAGAACCCTTAAATAGAAATTGTATCGCTATTTCACGGCTGCCAACACACTCAAATATGTAGACATATTGCCCAAACTTGTCAATCAATACAATCGCACCTATCACAGGAGTATTAAAACAACACCAGCTAAAGTCACCACATTCAATGCCAAAAAGTGTGGAACAATTTGTATGGGAAATATCAGACTAAGAAAGAAAAAAAAAGCCTGCATTTAAAGTAGGCGATAAAGTCCGATTGAATAAAAAATTTAGACCGTTTAAGAAAGGGTATCTACCAGGATGGACGGAAGAAGTGTTTCAAGTTCGTAAAGTCGTACCCGGAATGGTAACGACCTATAAAGTGCAAGAATTGGATGACACGCCCTTACAAGGCATTTTATGTGTGGGATTTGCAAAAAGTACATGTAGATGAAGCGACTTATTTTCGAGTGGAAAAAGTATTAAAGAGACAAAAGGATAAATTGTTTGTCAAGTGGAAAGGGTACCCTAGCAAATATAACAGTTGGATTAATAAAAATATTTAAAGTGAATTGTGTGTTTGTGGTGATCGCATCATGAGAGGAGGAAGTTTGAGACGCTTTAAAGTGTATGTGCCAAATGAACAAGGAGGAGGTGGTCTCATGCGCTGGCAGACCTCCTCACCTTATGCCCCACCACCTTTTATCGGATCCTGGGGTGATCCTCAAATAGGTGCCGGAGTCAAAGACATGGCTAAAGATTTTTTGAAAGGTGTAACAGGAGGCCTTAAAAGCAGTGTCAAAAAGCGTTCGTTATCAGAAGTGCCGCGAGGTATAAAGAGAGGGGCTTCCCAAGCGCTCAAGAACAAATTGAAGAGAAAAGTTGCCAAGAGGTTGAACGATATTTTTGGAGAATAAAACATGGTCCGCATCAGCACCGTACGTCAAAGTGATCCTATCATTGGTGTAGGCACAACATCACTGACAGATCCTGTGTCTTCCATCTTAAAAAGGTATAAAGGAAGAAGAAGAAAACAACAGCAACGAGGAGGATTTCTCACAAGTCGTATAAAGAAAATAGGAACACGACAACGTGTGCATAAACGCAGAAGACGTTGAAACAGACACATCACCATGTCTATCAAAGGGGCAGAGCAGAATTCAAGTCTAGATCTCTTTAGAATACCACCTACAGATCTTTCTACGGTAAAGTACCGATATGTCAAAATACCACCTCAGACATCTAGTATTACTCCTATCCAAGTGTACGTGGAACGACAATCAGATCTCATCGATCTTTCGAGAAGTTTTGTCCAACTGGATTTGGGTTTCAAAACCACAGAAAATGCCAGTCTCACAGCACGCGCAAACAATGTGGGTGTGATGACTTCACCAGCCAACAATATTGCACACACCCTCTTCAAGCAAATCAATTTCAGAGCCAATGGTACCTTACTCACCGAACAAGTAGACATGTACCATCTTAAAGCTTTTCATACAGACGATCCTTAATTATGACAGGAATGATGGAGAGACGATACTCGAACCAGCTGGATGGCGGAACGAAATTGATTCTCCTGTAACCTACACCGCTGCAAATGTCAAGATGGATGATGACGCGTATACAGCTCTTTCCATAAATCATCAAGAAAGCATCAAGAGACAGAGGGCAGATGCAACAGAATACTATGCAGGAGGAAAGAGGAGAATCTTGAGAATGAAACCGTTTATAGACGCGTTTCACCAAGGAAAATGGATCGTCCCCAAAACTCTTTTGGAATTGGAATTTTATCTGAATCCAGCAGCTTTATTCATGAATGGAGAAGCCAATCCACCCAGTGAGGAAGTCCGAGTCAACCCAGAGGATATTAAACTTACCTTCTTTCTATGTCTGGTGTCCCTAAATCCAGCCGTCTACATGAGCATGATGAGTATGATGACCAAAACCCCAACCAAGTATCCCATGATCCGTACCGAGATGAGACAGTTTCCCTTAGACAATGGGGCCACTTCTAAAGAAATCAACAACCCATTCAATGGAAAGGTGCCCCAAAGAGTCATCATTGGTATTCTGAAAACTACTGCATTCAATGGTCAATACAACGAAGACCCCTTGGCCTTTGGAAAATTTGGGGTGGAATACATCAAACAAATTGTGAATGGAGAAGAATACCCATACGAGACTTTGGAACTCAACACGGCTAATGGTCAAAAAGACTTGGTGGGTTATCACCGATTTCTGGATGCTACTGGCTGTCTGTACAGAAATGCAGGAAACATGGTGCGATTCAAAGACTGGGGTCATGGAAAAAATTGCACGCTGTTTGCGTTTTCCAATGTGGCCAATGGAAGACACGATGACCCGGTTCTTCTACCTAAAAATGAAGGCTTCATCAACATTCACATTAAATGTGCAGGGCAAGCAAGTCAGAAAACGGTGATCGTTTATGCTGAATATGAAAGCATTATGGAAATTGATGGAATTAAAGGAGCTACCACGATGGAAGTGCATTAGTGATGGAGTTTGTGTGGCTTACTACGAATCAACTCAACGCTTTAGCGGATAGCAATCCAGAACTCCGCAAGTACTTTGTGAGTGCTTTAGCCTGTGACGAACTACCCGAGTCGCCTGAACGTGTGAAACCGAGAGCTTACATTGTCAATACCCACCCTGCAGACAAACCTGGGGAACACTGGATAGCTGTGTGGACCGAACACGATAGCTGTGAAATTTTAGATAGTTATGGTTTAGATTTAACCACCTATGAATTTCTGACACCATTCATTGTATGGTTAAACCGATGGCCTTACGTGCGTAAAAATACTCGAGCATTACAATCTGTAAAAACCGCAAGTTGTGGAAACTATGCCATCATTTATTTAATGTGTAAAGCAAGACGCAAGAGTATGGATGAGTTTTTTTCCATGTTTTCTAAAAAGGATTATGTAGGCAACGATGATAAAGTAGGCGACATTTTAGAAGATATCATTCAATCGTTAATAAAATAAAAGGAATGAAATAAAATCGTGTCATTTTTGTGTAACTCGCTTTTAGCAATCATGTTCAAGTGTGTGGAACCAGGATTTTCGTTCAAATCCCCTTCCAATATTTTGATTGTGGGCCCTACAAGTTGTGGAAAAACCACCTTTCTCCATCACCTACTTTTGGAAAATTTAGACCTCTTTGACGAAAGACCGCCCCGCGTGCATTACTGTTATGGATCCTGGCAAAATAAGTTTGACGACATGCAACGCCATGGCATAGAATTTTTAAAGGAGTGCCTACCCACGACGATTTAACAACATGGTTTGGAGATAAACGAGGGGGTATTCTTGTCTTGGATGATCTCATGTCGGAGGGAGGAGATGACAGAGAAATACTTAATCTTTTCACACAATATTCTCACCACATGAATGTCACCGTGTGTTATCTCTGCCAAGACATGTTCCCTCAAGGAAAATATGCCAAGACCATCTCTAGGAATGCGCAATACATTATTGCCTTTAAAAATCCTAGAGATAAAGTGGCGTTGCGCACCTTACTGCTACAGATATACCCGACCAAGTGGCTACCTGTCATGGATATATATAATGCATGTACGGACAGACCCTATGGTTATTTGTTATTTGACGTACACCCTGCAAGTAGAGATTCTACGAGACTTTTAAGTCACTTGTTACGACACGAAGGGTGTGTACGCTGTTACAGAGAGAAATAAATAAGAAAGATGCCTGGTTATAAGCGCAGTATGTCCACAACCCGAAGGAGAAGAAGAGTGAAAAGAAGAGTGAAAAGAAGACTAACCAAAAGAGGACAAAAAGGAGGTATCCTACCATTAGCGGCACTCATTCCAGCCCTCATTGCTGGAGGTAAAGCATTGGGTTTAAGTGCCCTTGGAGGAGCTGCATCGTTTGGGGCTAAAAAAGGCCTAGAAGCTCTTACAAAGAAAAAGCGATGATTAATAGTTTCAAGAGAAATGTGGATTTTTTAAAATCTATTTTACAAGAGAAAAATAGAAAGCGTCGTATGGAAAAATTACTTCACGCTAGTAAAGATCAAATCAATGCCGTCAGTGAATTCACGTTGAACATGTTGAAGAAAAAGATACCTTTATCACCGCCCACCGTTGCCAAACTCAAGAAATATAGAGTGATGTTGAGAGAGTTGGGTAAACGGAGGAACTCTTTAAGAAAGCGGCGTCAATTACTTGTGAATCAAACAGGCGGTAGCTTTTGGAGTGGTATGAACGACGCGTTCTGTCAGTGTTTCAAGAGATCATGACTGTCACCGTGCAAGAGGGTATAAACGAAGTGGACACGGGTATAAAGTTTGATTTGCAATTCAACTACGACGACGACGACAGTGACTATAAGGATTCAACCGAGTGTAGACTCACAATAACTCAACTGTTTCGCTGGTTGCGTATGCGTGTGGTGGAACCCTTGTGGCGATTATGGAGACGTTCTTAATGGTGAAACCCGATGAGTTTCGAGCTTTGGTAGATTATTACAAGGGAAAAATTACTGAAAGTACTCTTCTAGACAAAGCCGCACGCGTGGCCGCCGAAGCAAAACTGTTATTAGAAGATACATCTACTCCTGCTGCTTTAAAAGAACCTGTGGTAAAAAGAATTGTTGATGCAAGAACGCAAGCTTACTGACAAATTGAGACAGATTCCTATCGCCGGTGGTTTAGAACCTCCACCTCGAGACGATGATGGTAATCTCATGGAGGGGTTGCAAGAGGGATTGTTAAAAGAACTCATTAAATCCATAAATATGAGGGGACAAGCCGCCGTACCTCAGATGACACTCAAGAGGGAACCTGTCACACCTGTGGGGATCAAGAACGAACCCGTCACCCCTGCGAAACCGGGAACGATTTCTTTTCTCACAGCTTCATCCCAAAAGATACAAAAAACGAAACGAAAACTTCCTGTTCCCACACCGCAAAAGCATCGCACGGAGTTGGAACGACTCAAAGAATTTGGTAACTGGGAACCTTGGGAAAAGAGAGGTTACGACCCGTATCAAGTGTTTGAAGATGACGAAACGCCAAAGTCGAAGAAAGGCAAAGGGAGGGCAAGAACCGTTCAAGCTAAGGCTAAAAGGAAACGACAGAGAGGAGGAAAATTTGATATTCAGAAATGGATTTCAAAGTTAGGTGTCGAGTTTCATTGGCCCGGATACCAGTATATGGGTCCAGGTACAAAATTAGCCAAGCGATTAAAACGTGGTGATCCAGGAATTAATCGTCTTGATAGATTAGCCAAACAGCACGATATTGATTACAGTAAAGCTAAATCACTCGCTGACAAACATATTGCAGATCGTAAGATGGTAGCCGGAATCGATAAGTTTCCAGGCAAGAAGAGTTTAACCGAGCAAATTGTGAAGCGAATCATGCAAGCTAAACTTAAAACAAAATTGTAACGCCTCTACAATGATGAAATAAAACTTGTGAAAATGCAACACAGTGTGTGTCTCCGGTTCATTCGTAGTTGTGTCGTTATCGAGAGCACATCATGTCAGGTAATACTTTTTACTTGACGTTACCCAGTAACGATGGGAGTCTGAAATATTTTCCAGACAACAAAAACAATTCTTGGAAAAATCGATTAGACAAACGCATCGATTTAGAAGGAGAGTGGGAAGTGGGATTGAGTAGTATTTCGCTTCCACACGATTCTAAGGTGTCCAGTTACCTCAAAGGATTAAAAGACGATGATGTCTTACTAACCACAGGACGAATTAAAGTAGCCACGGGGGATATACAACATAAAGTGACTTACAATGTCACGTATGGAGACATCAAACAACATCGTATCGAGACAGTTCACGATTTACTCAAATCCTTGTTTGATGAAGAACGTTTAAAATGTATTATGAATATGGGCTCGGCGTTGGGGAGTCATTTTTCTTCAGGACACAGCGCACAATTTGAAGTGATTGCAGACGAGGATAAAGAAACGATTACTGTGACAGCAGACAAGGTAAAATCGACTGATATAACTCATCAAGAAGTTCGTGACGGTCTCTATTTTGAGTTACCTCGAGACATGTGTGAGTTGTTTGGTTGGACGAAAAAAACAACAGTGCGTTATCGTCGTATTGTTAGTGGTCCTATTGAAGAGAATCGTAATGTATCACGACCGGCGCATAATCTCACAGTGACCAAACGTGGTACGGTGTGGAGTTATGATAGGAGGCTTACTACATCCAGTTTGACGTATTACAGATATGAGATCCCATGGAAAGACCGATTTGCGGAGAAATATCATAGATTTCTTCTTAGCGATCTGAACTGGACCTTTATCAATACTAAGAGAAGTACCTACTTAAATTTACCTTACCCACGAACCTTGTATATGTATTCCTCGCTTTGTGCTCCAGTACGCATGGGAGATCAGACGACTGATCTTATACGTCAAATACACTACCAACCAATCTTGGAAGGAAATTATTATTACGAACCCAAGCAGATTCATTACATCAAGTTACGTAAGAATCACATCGATGTGGTGGAAACACAGATAAGTGAGTCGGAAAATAATAATTTGGCTCAGTTTACAGACGGCGCTTCTATCGTCACACTTCATTTTAGACGCGTACGTTAACGCATGGATGCCGCCGCCCAGGAAAAGGACAGAGGAGGAAAATGTCCATTCCATCCACTTACTTGCAAATGTCCTTCACGTCACGAGTGGCAAGACAATATTGAAAAGGAACTACAAGAAATGATTCGCAGAGTCGATCAAAGAACAGCCTTTCTTAGAAAATGGATGGATAATATCACAGAGGGAATGAAACGCGTGTAAGGATGACAAAGACACGTGATTTAACTTGTAACAATTTAAACTGTTTTATTTAAAAATAATAAAAAAAAAAAAACGCTAACGTGTCTTGGCTTGAATGTCTCTCATATAAGTGTTTCAATGTTTAAAATGTCTTGTGCATCGAATCCTGTAAACTGGGCGTATCCGTAGGGATACGATTTAAATGTTCCTACGTGAAGTACCCGCTTGTCGAATACCAAAACAAATTTTTTGACTTGTGTTTCTGTCTTAATCTTCTTGGCATTGTAAAATAATAAAAGGGAAAAAAAAACGCTAACGTATCTTGGCTTGAATGTCTCTCATATAAGTGTTTCAATGTTTAAAATGTCTTGTGCATCGAATCCTGTAAACTGGGCGTATCCGTAGGGATACGATTTAAATGTTCCTACGTGAAGTACCCGCTTGTCGAATACCAAACCATATTTTTTGACTTGTGTTTCTGTCTTAATCTTCTTGGCAATGGGATCACGCCTAAAATGTCTCGGGTTCACAATGTCAGTGTCTCTTCTTTCGTCCTGCGGGTCTAAAATTTCATCCAAAATATTTTGCCTCATGACCTGATAATTAAGCTGTTTGGCACCACGCACGTTTAGGGAAAAGCCACGAACTTTACACACGATTTTCCCATGTTTCGTCGCATACCCATAGTTCTTGGTACCCCCTGACACAAATTCCACGATGTAATCCCCTTCATCCAATTCATTGGTCATATCGCCAAGGTAATCACCTAAGGGAATTTCTGTTTGACCTGGCTTCCACGTGTAAATGACCGAGTCTGTATCATAATACAAGACTCGATCGCCCAACGCCTCCAAAGATTCATAAAGCTTAAGACGGGCCTGACAGGTGGTAAATGCTGCTATGAATATGTTGGTCTTGGACCCCTTTACTGCATCCTCTTCTATCTTCTTATACGCCAATTCAATCACATCAGCACTCAAAATGCGTACGTCTGATATTTCAATCGTTGTGTCATTTAAATGATCAATCAGCTCGTGTGGTTCTGTGATTTGCTTCGTTTTCATCTTGTTCATTTGTTCACCAAACTTTCCCCAAAAGGAGTTCAGCATCAGTTTGGCAGTGGCCTTTCTTCCTGGATTTTTCTTGATGTGCTGGGGGTCTAGGTCTATCCCTTCTCTTGCCTTGTAATTTTTAACATAATCTTCTTTTTGCGCGTCCGTTTGTGCCCAGCTGGGGTAACCACTACTTTCTTGTTTTATCTTCAACCAGGTGTCTACGTACGGGGCAAACAGACCTTGCTTTCTTTGGTCTGGTGGGAAATGCCATGCTTCGTGTATGCGAAGAACCTGATACCCTTTTTCGACAGCTTTCATGATTTCGGGTGTACACCAAGTACCGGTGAGCACGCGATCCTCCACACCATGACTACAATAATAATTTCTTCCCAACATCGGTTTGGCACTTTCATCTTCCACGCATTTTCGACATAATGGAAACGTCGTTTTTTTTTTTCCATGTCGAAGAGGCAATACGGGATTGTATAAATTATAAGGCGGTAAAATGTCCACTGTCAATATACCGAAGTAGGAGGCTGGATCTTGGTCGTCTGGTTCCAAAAATATTTCGGGGTGACCTATGGGGTAGGTGCCGTATTTGTTTACATAGGGATATTCTGAGGTGACGTCGACGTATCTGATTTGCTCGCCTTCATCTGTGTTGGCCTTGTAATAAAGCGACGCCGCCCCAGTTCGACCTCCAAAGAACGCATCTCTCGGATTGAGCTGTGGTACAAGATTGATTTCCTTGAGAAAATCTTGAATTTCCTTTGAGGCCTTTTTTTTCTGCTCCTTCCATTGACATTCCCAGATTTGAACCACTTTATATCCCATCTGTCGGAGTGTCTGACATTTGTCTTCCGTCTGCTGACACAAAGCTTCCATCGTGTAGCTGCCTGATGAAAACGCCATTTTCTTGCGGTCTTTATGACAACGTCTGCACCCGTGAAACAAACAGCCATGAAATTCATACACAGTGTTTGTGTGGCTATCAAAACCATCGACATGGTATGCCTGGGGCCCTGCGGGTATCAACTTCTCCCCACCATTACGAACATGTTGGATACGTGGGCTGTCTGATTCAAGCTGATGTTCCTGCCACATCAACCATTCTAATGCAACTTCTGATTGATTGACTTGTGCCCCACGCCATCCTCTTACAGGTTCAACGGCCACAGTATCCTTGGAAAGATGTTTTTTACGCCAATATCTGTTGCATGCTGACGCAATCGTGGCACATTTTTCCATCGGATCAAACCCAGAAGTGGACTGGAATTCATTCACAAATTTAAGACAGCCGGCTTTAAGAAGGGCGACATCTGATTGGCAGTAGGCTATGAGTTCTTGCTTGAGATCAAATGGGTGTTGCTTTTTCACTTGTTCTTCATACCAGACTTGAAATTCTTTTTTTTTAGAATTGGACATACTTTCTGGGTCGTAACAGGAGGCTGCTGGCAGGGCTCCCACATAATCTTGATGGTCAGGTGTGTGGAACAGGTGAGGAAAGAAACCTTTCTTGAGTTCCGTGAGACCAAAGGTACTGGTAAAGGCTGAGAGTGACATCGGGAGGAAGCTGAACGAATCTTTGAATGTGATTTGACCCACTTTGAAGGATAACCATTTAGTGCCTATGGCGATGATGTCCTTGATCTTTCTTTCTTCCTTTACCAACTGATGCTGTAGAAACATAGAATCGTACCCCTTTAAATTATGGAAAATGCATATCACCTCGCGTGGGTCGCCATATTTGTCCTCGGTGAGCTGGGTGAGAAAGTTCAGAAAGTCGGCCGTGCAATTCTCCCCGTAGTAGGTTTCGAAGGTATCATCTTCAGAGGTGAGGGCGCAGACCAATACGGGGATGTGTGTGTTATCTTCCGCTATCATAGATTCAAAATCAGCGTAGACGAAGATGGGAGGTTCTTCATACACCGAGGCCAAGGGATTTTTTATTCTATGGCGTTTCAGGGTTGCTTTGGTTTTTTTCTTTCTTTGATCTTCTTTGGCTGCCACAGGTTGAATAAAGCATTTGTGTTCTGTAAGTTTTACATATTTATATGTAATATATTTACATATTCATGGCATACGGAGCATTTGTCAAAGTAGCATTGGTGAGGTTCTTTTGACGCTGAGGTTTGAAACTCCTTACGACACATAGGGCATTGAACAAGGCTGTCGCAGATCTTTTTCTCTTTATGCATGTCATAACACGTCTGACTGTAAAACTTTCGGCAACAAGAAGAACAGGGTACTTCACGCAAGGCATAATCAGGTTTTGCGCCACATTCTACTTGTTTGCATGCATGACATCTTCGACCCTCACATGGATGATGTCTGAAGTCATTATGATCAAATCCCTTGTTGCACTGATCGCAAAAATAGGATCGTTCTAGAAAACCAGCGTAAGATGTGCAAGTGTCATAGTGACCAGTCTCAGAGTCATCGTGTTTCTGGAGCAAGAGGCGGATAATATGCGGTGCTTCTGGGCCTACAAATACCATCATGTAGGGGTAGGAAGTTGCCATGACTTTCAATTGGTAGTCTGGTGCTAGGAAGTCTTGAAATTTTTTCAATTCTTGGTGCC